CATAGTAAGCACCTTGGCTTTTACTCTCAGTGAAAAGAGGGTCTATTATAAGTTTGGGCCAGCGAATTGACTGTGATTTGACTTGCTATTTATAGAATCACTTTGGCTGCTGGACATGAGCAGAGGAAGGGCAAAAGCAGAGAGAGAAATCAGTTGTTGCAGTGATCCAGGTGGGAGATGATGGTGGTAGCGGTGGCAGCCCTGAGAAATGGTTGAATTATTTTTCATTTTGAGGTAAGCTGATAGGATCTGCTGACAGACTGGATGTGGGTTGTGAAGGAAAGAAGTCAAGGATGACACCATGGTTTGGAGGCTGAACAATGGGAAGGATGGAATTGCCATTGACCTATATGAGGATAATCAGAAGGTCAACTTCTGTCATTTTAAGTTTGAGATGAGTATTGTATATGGAGACAGAGATGATGAGTAAGCCTGAGGTTCAAGAATGATGACAGGCCGTATTGGAAGTTTATGTGGGAGTCATCAGCATATAAATGTTTAAAGCCAGGGATGAGGTCGCTGTAAAAGTGAGTATAGACAGAGAAGAGAAGAGGTCCAAGGATGGAGCTATTAAGAGATAGGAAGAAGAAAACTTTGTGATGAAGTGATGGGTGAAAAGAATTATTTCTTCTCTTTCAGAGATAGAAAATTCAGAACCCTTTTCAAGGTACCCAAACAAACTACCACTGGCCAGTTTCCACCTCAGACCACCTATGTTCCTCAACCAGTGATTGGTCTACCATTCAAGAGACATTCACAGAGAGACCATTCCTACTCTAATAGAAACCTTCTGACATTACTTCACTCAGTGAGGAGGTGAGGAATGGAGCGAGGGGGTCTTTGAAGAATGTTCTAATGAGTCTCTTCCCTTGATACCTCAACTGTCTTGCTCCTTCATAGCTGGTGAAATGGGAACAGGTGATGTCAACACAAGGTGTTTGGAGTAAGGCTCAAAGCAACAGCAGGACTCCACTCCCATGAATATTAATAACTGAAGAAAATTTGCAAAGGATAAGGATTTATTGAACACACAAGATGGCACTAAGGGGATCGAATTAGGTTTTGATGCTATGTAACAAATTACCCAAAACTTCGTGGTTTAAAACAACATTCATTTATTATTTCACAGTTTCTACAGGTTACAAGTTCAGGCATAGCTCAGTTTGGCTCTCTTCTCAGAATTTTACAAGGCTAAAATCAGTGTTACCGAGGCCTACATTCTCCTCTGAATGATCAACTAGGGATGGATCCATTTCTCAACTCCCTCAGGTTGTTGGCAAAGTTAATTAGCTTGCCATTGTAGAATTCATGAAAATTGCTCCTTCAAAGCCAGTGATGGAGAATCTCTGATGCTTCTAGTCTTTCTTCAGAGAAGGCCTAAGCCCTCTCCTAAGGGTTTACATGATTAGGTCAGGTCCAACTAGTATAATCTCCCTTTCAATTAACTCAAAGTCAGCTGATTAGGGACCTAATTACATCTGCAATCCTTTCACCTTTGCCATAGAATGTAATACAATTGTGGATGTGTTAGTGCAACACCATTGCCATATTCAAGTGGTTAGAAACAAGGCATAGGTTCTGTCCACATTCAAGGGAAGAGGATTATACAGAACTTTATACCAGGGGTTAGAGATCACGGAGGTCATCTTAGAATTTGCCTACCACAGTAATGGTCCAAGATGCTAAACATTTATGTTAAATTCAAATGGAAATATTGACCCTAAAAACATCACATTTTTAGGTAACAGTAAATTTTGGCTGAATAATCTTCTCTGGGAGAAAAAAAATGAAGAAAATTCACAGCCAGACTTCAGAAACTAGCTTCACCAGACTTACACAAAAAATATATCAGAAACTGTATGATTTTTAATAAAATATAATAGCTATATAGTTATATTTATAAAACTATGTCATAATCTAATTGATATTTAATATAAACAGTGATCCATCTAATACTGAAACAATAAGCATCACATTTCTTTTGGATGTTAAAGGACTAAGTTTTGAAAAAAAAAAAAGTTATTCTATACTATAGAACCAGTAGTAGGAAGACATGTATGATAAAAGGAAGAAAATTTCAAAAAGACTCTTAAAATACAAAGTAGGTAGCAGTACTAAGATAATTTAACTATTCTTGAGTACATATTTTCATCTGGTTTCTGAATATAACCATTCGGCATCCTTACAAATATTACTACAGATCATTCCAGTCCTGTGCAGTTGAAGTACTTGGGGTAGTTTTTAAAATGATCTCACATATCAGAGTTATTTTTACAAATATGTATACGTGAATATTCTATCCTGATCTAGGGAAATTCCTTTGGTCTGTCATTGGATAGCAACATCCCCTAGGACTAATAGGTATTTATGAAATAAGTCATCTGTGTTCAATCATCATCAACATATAACTGTAATCTGACTGTAGTGAAATGGCAGCCTCCACTTCCAGCCAAGAGGACCACTTTGGAAGATAATCACTGATGAAACATTCTAGGTAGACTCAGCAATGAGGGGAAATGATATAACACATCTGAGTCAGAAAGAATGACAAGTGAATATTTTTGAATACTGGAAAGCTAGGCTTATTTCACAGAGAACAACCCCACAACACTTGAACAAATTACCTTCCCATGAGGCCAAATACGGCATGAAATACAGTTTTAGAGTGAGGGACTATGCCTATATTAAGAAATAATCATTTTATACCACATTTTCACTGTATATAGTTGACTTGGGAGGGGCATTATTAGGGCCATGGTTCATTTGAATTGGCGTAAACAATACACGGGGTTCTACTGTCCTACAGCTTCCGTTCAGATGACTAAAGTCATGGGACTTTCAGCATAGCTAGCTGATGACAGTGCACACTATTTTGTCCCAAAATCTAATCCAACCATGGGCATACCAATTAGATGGCAAGCACTTTAAAAGCAAAGGATCAGGAATTGTATAGTTCTTGGTATATAGTACGACATCAAAGAAACATTTTTGAAATAAAGTTACAGGTGTAATATCTTAGAGAAGATTCATGCACTGCACAGGACTGCAGGATCCTGAGCTCTCATTCAGCTCTCAGATTCTATTCAACTTAATAAACACTGACTGTTCTGTTAAATGCAGAAATTGTACGAGATGCTGAGAACACCACATTCATGAAGTCACAGTCCCTGCTATCAAGAAACTCACACAATTCCCTAATTCTTTGTGAGCCTGCTGTGATCACATTTTCTTTCAAAGAACCTGTAAGAAATACCTAGTGGATAGAAACTTGGAGTTTCACAGAACACAGTTCAACAATTTCCAAATGATGACTCAGGCCATACTGTATAATTCATGTTTTGGTTGCACAACTGAAAGTATTTCAGCACCCTCCAAAAATTCAATTTTAAGGAATTCTTTAACAAAGGCATCACGTGTTAGGATTTAGGGCACAGATATGAAATACACATGCATCCTTGGGTAAATTATACATTGGCCACAACCATTCCTTTACTCAAACATTGCCCCTTGCTGACAATGCAGTTAAGGATTAAGTGCAAAATGTCAGCTCAAATAAATGAGCCAGAAAACCAACATATCACTTTTCTTTTCCATTAAATTAGGATCAAGAGAGCTGGAGAATATTTTGTCTAGAATGATACAAACATTCAGGTGCAAAAACTCCCATGCACCTTTGCAAAAAATTACTTCTTTGACCTCTGTATATACAGAGACCTTGGTAATGCAAGCAAGGTTTTGAATGAGAGTGTATGGGAGGCGTTTTCACCACTTTTGGTGACTTCAAAAGGTTTAAGACATGTTTTTGCATTTATTGCATACACTCATAAAACAAAGGTAAGAACTTTCAAGTTATTAAGTCGAAGTCTATATACTGAAGTTTGCCTCTCAAAAATGTGTAACTTCTGCTTGCTTTCCACCGCCATGTTGCCATTATCTCAAAGGTGAAATTTTAGCATATGACTAAAGGGTCCTATAGCTGCAGCTTCATGATTCAGCATCTAACATCAATAATTCACAGTGAGATCATAGGCTCTCTGTGGAAGGTAGTGACATACTTGCCTTATGAAAGGAAGCTTAGGGCATATTGAGAGTATTTAGAATTTAGACGTGTGTGGATGTCAGACATTTGTCTCTTAGCTGGTGCGGTGCAGAAGGATCCTCCTTTGGGAAAAGCTCTCTGAGAAAGGTGAATCCGCAAGGCTAGGATACACACATCTGGTAACAAGCTCCTCGCGAACACGGTTTTCCAGAGTTACCCTCGGCAGGTGGGAAGGTTTTCAGCTTTGTGCAGAAAAGATTCCAACTTGGTTCCGTGCCATCACCAAACACAAATGTGTTGATTTTTCTTTTTTGAGCTTCCAACCCTTGCAACCTTCCAAAAATAAATCAAACCAGCCATCAGGGCACCGAAATAATACTACTACTAATAAGCAGCTTTGCCTAGACTTACATAAACAACACTTCTGAGGTAAACTTTGCCCCAGAGGTCTGAAACACTCTTTTTATGTAACCTGCTTACTAATAATTACTAGACTTGGGTGCATTCGCCCTGGAAATACATTTTAATAGCAACCCCTAAAAACAAAGGACATGAAACTACCATAAAAAATGTGCACCAACTAGAAAAACACTTGGCAGCCTGCTCCGGCCTCAAGTGGAAGACACCCCCTCTCCCCCGCCGCGGCGAAGACCCCCCACCTTCCTAGCCGCCACTCCAACAGGGTAAGAGTCTGCTCGCGGCCCCGCCCTCCCCGAGCCCTGCACCGCCCCCGCCCCCTAAGCTCGCCTTCCGCCTGGCTCCACCCCCTTCCGCTCCTCTCCCTACGGTTCCAGGGGCTAGGGTCAAATTGTCGGCGCAGGCTTATTTGCATAACCCAATGGCTGCGCATATGCAAATGAGGCGGGTGGTGGTTGGCTGGAGGTTAGCCGAATAACTCCCGCGAGCGGGGCCTTTGTCCTTCAGTGGCTGTGAGGCAGCTGCCGGTAGGGAGGCGAGGGCTGGCCGCGGGCGAACGTGTGGGGCGGGAGGACCGGCTGGACGGAGCTGCGGCGGCGGGCGCTGGAGGAGTCTGTGAGGGAGTGCAGAGAGCAGGCGCCCGAGCGCCCACAGTGGCAGGAGCAGCCGGCACGCCGCTCTCTCTCTGTGGGGGACCCGCAGTTGCAATATGACTTTGGAGGAATTCTCGGCTGGAGAGCAGAAGACTGAAAGGTAAGGCGGCCGGAGCCTCTCCCGGAACTCTTTCTCGCCCACTGCGCGCACCCCAGCGCGTCCCGGCTGTGCAAAGTTCGCCGGGGAGCGAGCGGTTAAAAGTTTGCAGAGGCACCCCCCCGCCCGTCTCTCTTGGGAACCTTCCCAGAGGCGCGGGTGGACGGAAGGAGCGTGCCCCCAACCCGGCCGAGACCCTCTGGGCCTTGGCAAAGGGCAGAAGGGACGGTCCCTGCCCCTGCGGTGAGGCTGGCAGCCCGTGGCTGCGCCCAGCGCCAGGGACTGACTGGCAGCGCCCGCGGGGGAGGGTGGCGGGTGGCCCTGTCGGGGCTTTTCGCAGGCCTCCTGGTCTCTGGGCTTGCGAGGGATCACGGGGGTGCGGCGTGCGGGTGACAGGGCCGGCGGAGGCTTGGGGGTTTGCAGAAAACCCAGCGGCGCGGTGGCGCACGGACTCGGGAGGAAGGGTCGCGGTGCCGGGTGAGGAGGGGGCGCGATGGCCCCAAAGGGACCTGGGCTGACGGGACCCCCTTTGCTCTCGCTCGCGGATAGGATGGATAAGGTGGGCGATGCCCTCGAGGAAGTGCTCAGCAAAGCCCTGAGTCAGCGCACCATCACCGTCGGGGTGTACGAGGCGGCCAAGCTGCTCAACGTGTAAGTGGGGCCCTCTCGCGTCCCCCGTGGCACCCCTTCCCGCCCCAGCCCGGAGGCGACCTCGCGGAGAACCCCTCGCCCTGCGGCGCAGTTTCCTGAGGCTTCCCATCTGCCTCGCGGCCCCCTGGCCCGGAGGTGGGGTGGGGGGAGCGAGCAGGCCTGGGCGCGACCTCGGGGCCCCGGCGGGTGTTGCGGGCGTCTGCGCAGACGGGTGGTGCCTCTGTGCTCACCCGCCCCTCCCGGTGCCTTCAGCGACCCGGATAACGTGGTGCTGTGTCTGTTGGCTGCGGACGAGGACGACGACAGGGATGTGGCTCTGCAGATCCACTTCACCCTGATCCAGGCGTTCTGCTGCGAGAACGACATCAACATCCTGCGCGTCAGCAACCCGGGCCGACTGGCCGAGCTCCTGCTCCTGGAGACGGACGCCAGCCCAGCCTCGAGCGAGGGCGCCGAGCAGCCCCCGGACCTGCACTGCGTCCTGGTGACGGTAAGCGAAAGGGGTCTGCAGGCCCGTCTGAGTTAAGAGTCCTGGTGGAAGTGAGCCGAGGGTTGAGAGTCGCCTGACTGCAGATCTGCAATGAGGGGGAGGGCTGGAGCGTGGCTGCCTTTGCTCCATTAGAGCGTGTGGCTGGACTTTCAGCCGAGATGTGCTGGTTTCATCATCAGGATTTTCTCTGGTACAGAACATGTCTAAGCACGTTGGCGGCTGCCAGCAGCGGAAGAGATCCTTGTGAGTCAGCACTGTCAGCCCAGCTACTCCCTACCTACATCTGCACTACCTCCCGTGACTAATTCCTTTAGTAGGGCAGATTAGATAAAGCCAAATAAATTCCTGGCTCACCCTCATTAAGGAGTCAGCTTCATTCTCCACCACTCAAAGTTAAAAATAGAAATGGTGTAGGAGACAGACCTTATTAATTCCCTAGAAATACATTAAGAGGGTGGAGTGAGAATTTTTTTCTTTGCAATTGTGCCTTTTTTAATGGACACTTTTTTTTCTGATAAAAGCCTTTGATAGGTAAATTACCTGTGTTTTCCAAAGGTAAATATGATAGCTTTGTCTTTTACAGTTCACTACCTTTTGGCTGGTCTAGTTAAGTGGCAGCCCAATCATTTTGCTACTTGGGAAAATTACTACTCTGTCTTTAGGGAGGATATCAGGTGGCAGCTCTTGCTGTTACGCAGCTCTCATCTCATTGTACACAGAGCATGGATATATGTCTCAGAGCTGTTTCACTCAGGTCTCTTACACAGGACAAACCTGTGAATGATACTGTCATGCAAAACTAAATAAGTGTCATGCAACCATATGTGTATGGCTTGGAGGGTTGCATGTGTTCATCCTTTCAGAGTATGGGTTAGTGGAGAATTACCCTTAATGATTCTGAAGGAAACCAGCTACCTAGAAGAAAGTTTATTTTTTACGGTTGTAACTAGTCTCTATGTCACACAGCTAAAGTATAGAATGTTCAAGAGGAAGTTGTCTTCCTCTTGACATGAGTGTCATTATTAGCAGGTGCTGATTTTTTTAAATAGTAAATTTATTTTCCTCATTTTGTTTCCAGAATCCACATTCATCACAGTGGAAGGATCCTGCCCTAAGTCAACTTATTTGTTTTTGCCGGGAAAGTCGCTACATGGATCAGTGGGTTCCAGTGATTAATCTCCCTGAACGGTGATGGCATCTGAATGAAAATAACTGAACCAAATTGCACTGAAGTTTTGAAATACCTTTGTAGTTACTCAAGCAGTTACTCCCTACACTGATGCAAGGATTACAGAAACTGATGTCAAGGGGCTGAGTGAGTTCAACTACATGTTCCGGGGGCCAGAGCAAGATGACTCTGCAGATGGAAAGAGGTGAAAATGAAGAAGGAAGGTGTGTTGCAACAAATACAAGTCAAAAGGAACAAAAAATTACAAAGAACCATGCAGGAAGGAAAACAAACTATGTATTAATTTAGGATGGTTGAGTTACATTTACATAAACCAAATGTGCTTTGTTAAAGTTCAAATGTGCTGCAGTAGTTTGGGTATTTTTGGTTTATATGCCCTCAAGTAAAAGAAAAGCAGAAAGGGTTAATCGTATTTTAAAACCATATTTTATTGTATTTTGATGAGATGTTAAATTCTCAAAGTTTTATTATAAATTGTACTAAGTTATTTTATGACATGAAAAGTTATTTATGCTATAAATTTTTTGAAACACAATACCTACAATAAACTGGTATGGAATAATTGCATCATTTCTGAATGTGTGCTTTGGTTTCTTTTAACTTGGAATGTATCTTAAATTTTTTTATATGGAAAAATTAAAAACCCTTCTGGAATCATGTATCTACAGTATATGTGTCTATCTCTCTATACAGGTAGAGATCTGCATGTGTCATGTATCTGTATTTTTTCCACTTTTATGCATTTGGGCTGGACATGGCATAATTTTATTTCTTAGTCTTTATTTAAACAGACATCTTACTGGTGCCTTACTCTACACTATGTCCAAAGTCCAAAAGCCAAAGGTCATTTAAGAAGCCTTGGGTTTGCAGTTCGGCAAAGAAGTGTTTGAGATTTCACTTGCAACATTGGAATAATTACCATTCAGTGACATTAATGTCATAGTAAGAATATATGCAGAATGCTAAGGAAGCAAAAGTGACCAAAGTTACCTGCAAGAGCAGGTCATTTTACATGGGTCTTCGAACTCGAGTTTCACTTCCCCAGCTAGAGAGGAAAAGGATGTTGCTGGCAGTGACCCTGGTTTGTGCAAAGGCAGGTTCCCTGAAAGACCCACCCTGGTTCAGGGAACAAAGGGTGATTCTGTGTGCCTCTGGGGTGGAAGAGAAGGGAGAGATAAGGTGGATAAAGGGGGTGGGGATTAGGCCCAGACTCTGAAGGGCATTAGGGCTTCCTACTGTAAACTCTGGGGATTTGGCAGAGGCCTTCACAAGGGGAGTGACGTGATCAGTGTTCTGGGAAGATAACTTCAGGACCCATGAAAGAGAGATTACTGGGATAAGAGGCTGGAGGTGACGCCAATCAGGAAGTGACTGGACCAGGCCAAGGCTGTGCAGTTTGCAGACCATGTTTAAGGAACAAACAGGGAAGTGGCCTGGCAAAGAATTCCGGTGCCCCTCTTCTCTCTAGAGCTGTATGTCTTCCAGCTGCATGTTTCCGCTGTGGTTTCAAGGGGTCTGGTTGGATTCGATGAGAGAGATGGAAGAAAAGAGCAAAAATGAAAGGCTTTAGCAGAACAATCCCCTCTTAGTTGGAACAGTCACTTGATAATTAACTGTAACAATCTCCTCTAGGTATATAGCCAAAGAAAGCAAAAAATGCCTACTGAGGAGATGCCTAATATAGATTTTTTTTTCTTTTTTTTTCTTTCTTTTTTTTGGCCTATTTGGCAAATAGCACCCCTCCCCCACGGCTCCCCCCACCATGTGTCTCCCATCCTTGTCATGACTACAGGTCATTAGGAAAAGATAGAAGTCAGGAGAGAAAACCAGACCAACTAATAGTAATACAAAGCTCCAAGTTTCTGCATCTTAGGAATAACACAGGCCCAAGAAGCACTTCACCTCACAGTTAAGTTTCTGTTTTTCCACATCTGTCAGAAATGTGGGTTGTTAGGCCTTGTTTAAGCTCATTGTATTTTATTCAAGCTGGTGCCTGATCCAAAACACAACCGGTGCTTAACTTTTGTTTTACCAAAAGATGGAGAGCAGTGGGTTTTGAATAGAATGTTCTTACCTTCTTAGTAAGGATTTTCAATCCTCTTCCACAGTTGCTTGACTGAAAACCCTTGCAAAACTGAGTGAATTAATCCAAGAACGCAGAGAAGAAAGCAGCCATATTGCTAGGTGTGAAGATCATCGTTAGTTCCTCTGCATCTCGTTCCCCTCAGCTATAAAATGGAGGTAAAATGACCCAGAATTGTCACTCTACAAAATGTCTTTGATGATTCTACAATTGTCTTCTGCAAAACTATAAAACTAAAGCTAAGGGCTAATGTCTGCTTCATAATGGTAGCCCAGGATTTAGCACACTTCTCAGCAAGCAGTAGGTATTGAATTAATACTTGTTGGCTCAATGAATGAGTTAGAAATAATGAATGCAAATGATCTGGCACGTGATGGGTGCTCAGTACAGTCTATTCCTAAAATGCAGGCGAAGGCAATCGGGTTTCTCTGATGCTTTAAAACGCAATATAAATCTATTAATTTTGAGAAAGGAGTTTCAAACCTTTCTTCTATACTCATAGTGCTTAGAGATGGGAAGCGGTAGTATCCATTCTTCAGATTGTTCTGTTTCAGTAAGAGCCCAATAATTAATGCAAAACTGTTATCTGGGGTTTTAAGTTGTAACTTTTGCTTTTCTTTCCTGACTGAACATAACACAAAGTTAACACGGCATTGAAAAACCCAGCCGTGAAGCAGTTAATTGTAAACAAGTGTGCAATTACCTGGGCAACTTCTACCTCTAATTGATGTTAATATTCTTCAGTCATTGCCTTAAATGCTATTAAGCCTACTTGTTGCAAGTAGGTGGAAATGTTACAACAAGAACAAAAATCCTTTCATCTACCTAAGGTGTGTTGTATTTGGAAAATACCTATTTTTCCACCGGCAACTTCACCCCAGTGTTGTAAATACCATTGCCTCCTCCTTTTACAATTAACCAAGGCCTTAGGAAGTTTAACTTCTATAATAAAAGGACTCATGAAGATAGCTAATCTCCTGTAATACATATATTATTTACCAATTAAATAAAAAGGGTTCTTTCTAGGAAAGAGCATTTGTATACTATCAGCTGGAAGCATTTCCAAAGCATATTTTGCGATGCTTTACTGTAACCCTTGTGAAATCCTGGTTTCCTCAATTTTCAACTATGTAAGTTAAATTTTATTCTTTTCCATGTGGTAAAAGGCTGCAAGCAGTGAGATGTGTTTCTGTCAAATGAACCAGACTCTCAGTGGCATGATTTAACATGGAGCCATCATCCCTCAAATGGAATTGAAGTTTTTTTCTTTCTTTTTAACAATCCTTAGGAAAACACAAGAAACTCTGTGAAAAGGTCGTATCCATGAAAACCACCAACAAATATTTAGTGAGTGCTTACTATGGGCAAGGAGCTATGCTGGTTATATTGAAGTCTGTAAAAATCAATCAGTCAATCAATCAATCAATCAATCAGGCAACTTCTCTAGCCTCAGGGAGCCCCAAACAATGAGACATGGACATCAGTAGATATAATCCAAAGCAAAAAATGCCCAGTAACAGATGAAAGGCCCAGAGAACTGCTAATGGGAGTTCAAATCTTAGAAATCTCTGGAGGGCATAGGGGATGGCATAGGAAGGAAAGGTAGGAAACTCTTTGATCAGAAGTGAGCATTGTATTTTGCAAACCACAGAAATTACTTAATTGATTGACAATTGAATATAATTCTGCTAGGAGCTATAGAGATTACATAAGATGTAGCCAATGGGAGCCTTTGTCCTTAAGTTTATAATCAAATAAGAAATCAAGATCAGCACATTTATTCCTTTAACGCTATTTATTGAAAGGGTGTCCCTGGCACTGTGTTAGGTCCTGGGGCTACAAAAGTGGAAAAGCAAGTTCTCTGCCTTTAGTGGAAATGCCTGACATCTGCGATATGGAGTGGTAAGTGGTGATGTGTTATATTCGAGGCATAAGTGTTCCTGGGGGACAGGAAGCTTTGCCAGATCAGTGAAACTTGAAGGATAAAGAGCTCTGCCAGGGGACAGTGAAGAACATTTGTTCCAGAAGGGGGGGACTGCGGTTCTGAAAGTGTGAATTCAAGGCATGTTTGAGGCTAGCTTTGGAGGGCAACCATAACACACATAGGATCTATTACGTGCTGAGCACTGTTCTAAGTTCTTTATGGTAACACATTAGGATTCACAATAACTCTGTGGAAGTAGGTACTATTGCTGCCATTTGGAAGCCAAAGAGTTGGACACACAGAGAATTTTGCCTCCAGTCATACTCTTAGTAAGTAGCAACTCCAGGATGCAAATTGAGGCAGTCTGGCTCCAGGAGCCATATTTTCCAATGATAGGTGATGAAGTGGGAAGGGTGGTAGGAACAAGACCAGGAAGGGTCCTACAAGTCACCCTTTTTAAAATTAGGTGATAGAAAATAATTTAGGGCCTCCTGCCCGGCTCAGTTGGTAGAACATGTGACTCTTGATCTTGGGGTCATGAGTTTGAGCCCCATATTGGGTTCAGAGATTACTTACTAAAATGATTTTTAAACCCATTTAAAAATAACCATTAACACTGAGGGAAGAGACAAAGTGCTATCACTAGTGTGAGAAGCAGGGAAAAGATGCTATGGCTCACAAAGTCCTAATGCAAAAACTCAGCTAAGAGAAACTTGGCTTGCTGAGAGGAGGCTCCTCTCTTCGACAAAGATTTCCTGTTTGCTACAGACCTCACCCCTCCCACTTGTCAACTCAAGCCTGCTGGACTCACTTAGGCTTCCTGTGGTAATCCTTTTAAGTATATGGGGGCCACCCTTCACCCCCAACAATTCACATCTCTCAGTCTGGGGCTCAGAATTTTCCTGTGTAAAGGGAGGTGTTTGCACTATCAGAATTTCTCGATTGTTCTCATACTAATAAAGACCTACATTGGTTTGTTTACAAATTCAGCTTCAAGACCCTTCCCGGGAGCTTCAGATTAAGTGGGAGCTGAGATAAGGCTCAGAACTTATTTTTTAACAAGCACCTCAGGTAATTCTTATCTGGGAATTTTGAGAAGCACTCTTAGCCTTCTTCCAGGTGAATTGCAGCAGAATGATTCTACCAATTTGGGGGCGGGGGGAGGAGAAGCTCACATGTGATCAGTTTCCAGCCTCCCTGATGCGGCTGGCCAGGAGCAGAAAAATGCATTTTTCTCTGCAAAGGCTGAATTATTTTAAGGGAAGAGATATAACCAGAAATACTTGCTACCTGTGGACAGAGTAAGAATTTACCAGTTTACTACGGTGTTTATTGCATAAGTTACAATGACTCCGAGAGGCAGAAAGAGTCCACACACAGAACGGCTCTCAGCACGCAGCCTTGAAATGGCCGACCAGCAGACCGGTTCGTTAGGTGCTGGGCGCAGTGCTGAGCCCTTTGGGCGAGACAAGGAAGAACTCGAACCGCATGATCAAAACAACCGGAGTACGGCTCAGTGTCAGGCACAAGGTAGGAGTTTGGGAAGTGAATTGAGTTCATATT